TGCTGCATGACAATTTATAGATTGGGAAGGTAGCATGTACCGTGCGAACTCCTGATCGCCACACTTCGCCGCTATTTGAACGATGTCTGCAGTAGATGCCAGACCAGTAGTTTCAATGTCAACGATGACTTGCGGACTGTCTTCACGGAGAGGTTCATCAATTTCACAAGTTGTTTCGATAGGAAGATCCAGTCCCATACCTGATTGATAAGTAATCCCTTCCCTGCTCTCTCGTGCTATGGTGATACGTTGCCTTTTATTTTTCAAATAACATCGACGGCGTTTTACTTCGAATGTGGTACGTTTTACAGCTATTTCTCGTTGCAAGACTTCTTTTCGTAGGCGGTATTCTTCAGCTACCGTTCCTGGCGGTAATCCAGCTTCGAATCTTACATCGATGATGTGTTTAGCTCCAAAATTTTTCTGACAGACTGCTGCTGCCACTCGCAGAAGAATAGAACGCGAAGATGCGTAATGTCTGGACTTCGGTGCTCTGGTGGCCACCATATGGTTAAATGATTCATTGAGTTGAGACGATCCCCCTGGCGCAACTTTCAACACCCGAGATGTGAACTCCATCAAGACCCCATGAAGTGCAGTTTGCAGATTTTTACTGAAAAGAGGTTTTCCCTTCGGTAAACTCTTAAACACGTACTCCGGATTGTCTTTGGCCTCACACCAAGTGCCGCAGTTGCTATGGTTCCCAAATATGTGCTCGGCAATGCTTAATAGAGCTTTCGTCGTAGCTTCAGTATTTCCTTTATTTTGGTCCAAGGCATAATTGAAGCATCGCTTCAAATATGGGATGACAGATCCTCTGTCAAGGTTTCGATGGGTGTTGGCCAACTTATAAAGTTTTCCAGTAAACTTTTTACGCACATGATTGGAATTCGACCACTTGACGACTCGATGTGAAGTTTCTCGTTGGTCTGCCGCAATTGTGGACGAATCTTCATCCCCAATAAGTGTTCCTATTCGGATTCCAGCTTTTTTAAAATCTGGATTTTTCACCATTAGTTAAACCGCTGTATCTGCCTCCATGGATTTCGCACTCCCTGACCAATTTTTGGTACACTTTTGGCTGTCAGGTGAGTGGCCCTTTCGGCACACGGCACAGCATGTGCTCTTCACGCCATAAGCCAAGAGTTTCTTAGAGCGTAAGCTGCCAACAGAACCCTAACCGCTCTTACTATCGCATGTTCGACCGTTTCCTCGCTTCCGCCAGCCAAAGTCGTACGAGACTGTCACGTCGACTACGGACGCCGCAGAATCTTGTGAATAAGAGTCACCGCTTGGAATGTAATTGTGTAAATTGTTAATAACATATATACACACAAGTAGTTGAAAACAAGTAAATAGAAAGCGAGCAAAACTTTTTTTTAGTCTTCCAACAAATAGTGCTTAGAGAAATAGAAATAAAAACATTATAAACATATTAGAACATAGTAGAAAATAGTAGCATGTATAAGAAGATCTCGGCGACTTTTAGGGTCAGGGCTAGAAAT